TGTCCTGCGTGAATTGGCAGAAGTTAGAATTCATGCACTGGCTGGTCATTGGATTGGCTCTCAGTGGTCTAATGGTCTACGAGATAGCTCGCTCGCCTTGTAACCAGAAGGTCCTGGGTTCGAACCCTGTCAGTGGGGTGGGTGCGTACTGCTGAATAGCCGGTCCCAAAGTAGGCATGCGATTCGCCCCTGTTAAATGTAAGATGATGCTGCAGGATTGGACTACACCGACCGCTAGATTAGAAATAGGGAGTGAAGTGGTTGGTGGAGCACGTTGACCGCTTCACTTACTTAGGAAGTACCATCAGCCCCAACCGGCTGATATCTGACGAAATCTCAGCTGGGTATGGATAGAGAGGGCTAGTTTCGCATACACCCGCCAGTTTACGCCGTCTCTGGCTTAGTAGACGTGATATTCGGCTGAGTGGCTATCGACCAAAGGGCGTGTGTACTGCTCAACAGTTCGCTCCGTCCTTCTTTATGGCTTGCTGTGAGACCTGGCCATTGAGAGTGGAAGACATCAAAAGCCTGGCTAGCTGTCTTCGATCATAGGTGCCTGCTTGCGTTCTATCTCCCGTGTGAAGTGGTATAATAAGGTGAGCAATATTGAGGTTAGGTATCGGTTGAGTGCTAGGTAAGGAGGGGAAATCAATCGACGAGGCTGTGAAGCTACATCGACTGAGATGGTTAGGACATGTGTTACGTATGCATGCCTAGCCATCGCCTTCCTCAACAATGGGTAATGTTAGCTGATATAGGGTCAGACTGGAAGAAAGCTAGTGGCGGTCAAACTAAAACATGGCTTCACCAGTCAATGAAATCTACAACAGTTAGTCTAGGCCACGTAGGAAGGTGTAGACTGGCTTCCTGACTGGTTGGTGTCCTCAGGATGACGGTAAAAGCCGATGAAGGCTGGAAACAATCGGTGATGATATTACTCTAAATTGTTCTCAATGGCTGGCTGGCTGGCGCAGATGCATCCACTCCTTGTGACTTATGATCCCCAATGAAACTATATTGTGTTCTTCGTTATTACTATTCCTTTGTCTGACACCTCTGTTTACTGTCTCTCTCTCTATTATGCATTTCTTCTACTTTCTTCTGTTGCTTTGTGTGCTACATGGAGGGAATGTGGAGAATTGAACTGGTGCACATTGGTGCAAAGTTCTATGTCGAAAACAGACAGACAGAAACAAACCCACGCAAAGCATTGGTTTGTGAATTGTGCAGACGCATACACTGCTACATTTCTGGTGCTACTCAAAATCAAGTTGAGACGTCAAAAGGTATTCATTGAAAGATTTGAAAAAACAGTGAATTGAGATATACCACACATATTCATTCATTCATTCTGCTGGTATCAGACAATAATCATCAATCATCACACCTTATGTAGTGCAAGAGGTGTAAAATCAACAGAAATGTCACTTGAAATCATTTATTAATTAGTAATGATTTATTTTGCAGTTTAACTAACCTTTCCATTACTCTTAACTTTATTATTTATTAAGAATAACAGAAGCACTGAGCAGTGAAGAAATATTTACGCTTTCCAATTAGATCCTCATCTCATCTCACTCTGGCTCTACTCTACTCTACTCTAATATACACGTACACACACGCATTTTTATTACAATACACAACAACAACAATTTACCAATCATCATCAAGTGGCACTGGCATATTTGTTGGTTTGTTAACAATAATTAGTCAGTCAGTGTCAACATGTCAAGCAGGCGGCAAGGGGTGATAATTAACGAGGGAAATTGGCATACACACCCACGATCAGGAAGGTAGAAATGGATACAACAAGTGGATTGCATAATGCATAATTAGGAAAAATGAAGAGTAATTAAGGAATAAGCGTGTGCACAGGTCGATTATGTAACAGGTTGTTAAAAAAAAGAAAACGATTTGAACAATGATAATTTGTAACTAAGGATGAAATAGTCAGAAAAAAACGTAAAATAATTTGGACAATTACAAGGTGTGCTAAAATAGACCTAAGAATAGATCTTGTTTGTCCGTTGCTGCTTAACCATGGTGCAGGATGATGTTCGGAAATACGATGATGAACCTGCCTAATTGTACACTCCCCAATGTAGCTGGCTCCGCAGCTGCAATCAAACTGGTAGATACACACAGAGGCGGAGGCAAATTTTTTCTGACCACTTCATCTTTAATTACGTGTTATCCTTGTAAAATTAATTTATTCTAACCATTTGTACCTTTTAATTGTGTGTGTGCATTGATTTTTTTTCGTTAATTATCACCCCTTGCCGCCTGCTTGACATGTTGACACTGACTGACTAATTATTGTTAACAAACCAACAAATATGCCAGTGCCACTTGATGATGATTGGTAAATTGTTGTTGTTGTGTATTGTAATAAAAATGCGTGTGTGTACGTGTATATTAGAGTAGAGTAGAATAGAGCCAGAGTGAGATGAGATGAGGATCTAATTGGAAAGCGTAAATATTTCTTCACTGCTCAGTGCTTCTGTTATTCTTAATAAATAATAAAGTTAAGAGTAATGGAAAGGTTAGTTAAACTGCAAAATAAATCATTACTAATTAATAAATGATTTCAAGTGACATTTCTGTTGATTTTACACCTCTTGCACTACATAAGGTGTGATGATTGATGATTATTGTCTGATACCAGCAGAATGAATGAATGAATATGTGTGGTATATCTCAATTCACTTTTTTTTCAAATCTTTCAATGAATACCTTTTGACGTCTCAACTTGATTTTGAGTAGCACCAGAAATGTAGCAGTGTATGCGTCTGCACAATTCACAAACCAATGCTTTGCGTGGGTTTGTTTCTGTCTGTCTGTTTTCGACATAGAACTTTGCACCAATGTGCACCAGTTCAATTCTCCACATTCCCTCCATGTAGCACACAAAGCAACAGAAGAAAGTAGAAGAAATGCATAATAGAGAGAGAGACAGTAAACAGAGGTGTCAGACAAAGGAATAGTAATAACGAAGAACACAATATAGTTTCATTGGGGATCATAAGTCACAAGGAGTGGATGCATCTGCGCCAGCCAGCCAGCCATTGAGAACAATTTAGAGTAATATCATCACCGATTGTTTCCAGCCTTCATCGGCTTTTACCGTCATCCCGAGGACACCAACCAGTCAGGAAGCCAGTCTACACCTTCCTACGTGGCCTAGACTAACTGTTGTAGATTTCATTGACTGGTGAAGCCATGTTTTGGTTTGACCGCCGCTAGCTTTTTTCCAGCCTCACCCTATATCGGCTAACATTACCCATTGTCGAGGAAGGCGATGACTAGTCATGCATGTACTTACCATCTGAATCGTTGTCACTGCTTCACAACCTCGCCGATTTTCTTTCATCCCCTCCTTACCTAGCACTCAACCGATACCTAACCTCAATATTGCTCACCTTATAATACCACTTCACACTGGAGATAGAACGCAAGCAGGCACCTATGATCGAAGACAGCTAGCCAGGTTTTTCATGTCTTCCACTCTTAATGTCTAGGTTTCACAGCCATAAAGGAGGTTTGTTTCGTATTCATCAGCGGCATATATATATATATATACATATATATAGTATGGTGTAATTCCTAACTGATGTAATATTCGAACATCTCGGGATAGTATTGATCTGGTTGATTATCATTCTCACGGTTAATCAGATGTTACTTTCATCTGACCATTATTTACTATTATTATTGGGTCCCAGTGGCTTAATGGTATACGAGCTCGCCATGTTACCAGAAAGTCCTGGGTTCGAACCCTGGCGGTGGGTGCGTACTTATGAAGAGTCTGAAGCTAGGACGAAACAACTGTCCAGTACTTCCAGGTTTCTTCGCGTCGGTGGCATAGCGGTTAGGACGCTCGCCGACCATGCACATGGTCAGGGGTTCGATCCCCGACCGACGCACTCCTCTACCTCGCTAAGCCAGAAATAATGCTGGTAAAGAGGCTAGGTTGGGCATGAGGCTAGCAACCCCATCCTGTAAAATAAACACTGCTACAGAAACTTCAAGCCACTAGCTTGAGGCCCTATGTTCCACTGGGGAACGTGAAGGAAAAAATTATTACTATTATTATTATTATTATTCAAGTATTGATTTGTAGGGATTTGATTGATTGGTTACAGGATTTCATCGTCAGCTGACATTGTTTAGAGAACCGTTGAAAAACAAGCTGGGAGTACTGGATAGCTGTTTCGTCAGCCTAGTTTGGGACTCTTCATCAGTAAGCACGCACCCACTGAAGTTCAAACCCAGGACCCTCTGGTTACAAGGCTGGCGAGGTCGTAGACGATTAAGCCACTGGGACCCGATCCAATGGCCAGTCAGTGCATGAATTCTAACCGCTACCAATTCACGACATAGCGCGACTGGCACTAGCCAATGTATTCGGTGAGTATTTGTCCTCACACCCGACCTGCTGCACCCTACTGGTCATGACTTCGCACTAGAACCCACCCAGGTAACTACCTACCTGAATAGGGCCAGTCGCCAGTGAGCAGCATCTCATTCATATTCACGCATTGGTTTGTAGGGATTTGGTTGGTTGGTTACAGGCTAGCGGCTGCGCTATATCATGAATTGGCAGAATTTAGAATTCATGGGTTGGCCATTGGATCGGGTCCTAGTGGCCCAACGGTCTACGAACTAGCTCTTCTTGTAACCAGAAGGTCCTTGGTTCGAAACTTCTGTGGTGGGTGCGTACTTATGTGGAGTCCCAAAGTAGGACGAAACAGCTGTCCTGTACTCCCACCTTGTTTCCCAATGGTTCTCTAACCAGTGTCAGCTCATGATGAAATCCTGTAACCAATTATTATTATTATTATCATTAGGAGATATTGTGTTCTCTTTCAATTCGTCATGTCCCACCGTGGTAGGTTATGTCAAGTCTGATGTACATCTAAATGATTATTTAATTAATTGATGATAATCGTCTTTTTGTCTAAACATCCCTTTCAAATGTTTTTTCTGCATTTTTTTTATAGTGTATAGACAACTATATCGGATCTGGCAAGCACAAGACAGACCTTTCTATACGAAGTGATTCTAAACGGTTAATCCGACCTACGACGCCTCCGTATTCCTCAGATGTAGAAGATGAGTCGACAGTTCCACAGACCTACGAGAGAAAATCTTACTGGCCTGAAAGGAATAGACCACTAACAGCTAAAACAAATTCAAGGCACTTGGAGTCTCGGGTCAGTTGATCTCTTGTCAAATTATTTAACCCTGATGTATCTAAGATGATTACTAATCATTATGTGCTCTTGAAATAATAGAGAAGATTTGTAGCTTAGGTGGATAATTTGCAATTAATAGTGTTCTCTGAGCTGGTTGGTTAGGAACACCAATGGGATCGTCGCCCATATCAGGATTAATAGCTGAAGCCGTCGTCATGCAAATATTAGAATTAATAGCTCTACCTATAATTAAACCGAAAATCTGGACAGGCACGTTACGTTGATGATACATTTGTAATAATTAAGAGAAATGTGATTTAGAATATACTCATAAATTAATAAACAACATATTTGAAGACATCAAATTCACCACGAGAGAAGAAGAATTAGATAACAAAATCCCATTTTTAGATGTCTTAATCAGGAGAATCAACACAGGAGATTTAAAAACACAAGTATGTAAAAAATCAACGCACACACACAGATCAAATACTCAACTATACTAGCAATAATCCAATTACTTCCTAACAGAAAAACTGTGTGCAGACATTGTTCACAAGAAAGTTCAAACACACTGTAGCACTCCAGCGTTGAAAAGAATGGAAGAAAAATACCTACAAACGGTCTTCAAAAAGAATGGGTATCCTGACAATTTCATCAAAAAGTGTTTAAAGTCGAATCAAAACAGCGACAAGAAACCATCATCAAAGACCACAAGAAAATTCATTCTACCATACATGAGGAATATCTCTGAAATAACAACTAGAATACTGAAACCGTTTGATATAGATATGGCACACAAGCCAGTCAAATCGCTTAATTCGATATTATGCAAACCGAAAGATCCAACAGAAAAAGGGGATAAAATTAATACCATTTACAAAATAAATTGTATGAACTGCAACAAGCATTACATCGGTGGTCGAAGTGGGCATCCCCTTCGAATTAGAATCCAAGAACACAAATCAGCCGTGAAAAGACACGATATGTATACTTTAGTATCAATGCATATAGACAATTATCGACATCAATTTGATTGGGATAATGTCAAAATCTTAGACAGAGGAAACACCACCAAAAGTGCAGTCAGGGAATTCGTAGAAGCCTGGTACTCAAACGATTATGCAATTTTGGTGTGGTTGCGTTCTCTGAGCTGGATGGTTTGGTTGCGAAGCTTTCATTGCTCTACTGAGCAACATCTTCAGCGCATACTTCGATGTGAAGTGAGCTTTTAGAATTCTCTATGAGTTTATAAGTCATCTCTTCTAGTAACCTTGAACGTGATTGGTTGTTTTCGTGTGACATTTCATCCCCTAGTTTGCTTGTCTCAGTGCTGGCTGTTTCTTTGGTCTGAATGTCGTTAGTCATTCCTTCTGCCAACCTTGAACATGATTGGTTGTTTTTGTGTGACTTCTCACTTTCTAGTTTACTTGTTTTGGTGTTGACTGTTTCCTTGACCTGAAGTTTGACTTTGTTTTTGTGTGAATTTCTTCGTATGGATTGGTATATTTTGTCAATCTCTATGTGTCTATTGATTGCTGATTCATTTGAATACCAGGCCTCTAGGAATTCTCTGGCATTTTTGCAGTTCCCTTTGTCTAAGATTTGAACATTGTCCCAGTCGAATTGGTGCCCTTGGTTGTCTGCATGTAGTGATATGAGGGAGTGTATGTCGTGTCTTTTGACAGCTAGTTTGTGTTCGTGAATGCGAAGACGAAGAGGGCGTCCACTTTGACCAATGTAATGTTTGTCGCAGTCGTTGCAATTTATCTTGTAGATGACGTTAGTTTTGTCTTCTTTTGCCGTTGAGTCCTTTGGTTTACATAGAACTGAGTGTAGTGACTTTGTTGGTTTATGAGCGACATCGATTCCAAAAGGTTTGAATAGTCTTGCAGTGATTTCGGAGATATCTTTTATATATGGTAGGACGACTTTCTTTGTGTTTTCGCTGGTGGTCTTTGATTTGGTTGGTTGAGCTGGGGGTAGATGTCTTTTGATGAAGTTTCGTGGGTATCCATTTCTTTGGAAGACGTCCATAAGATGATTTTCTTCAATTTTCCTCAAGGCGGGAGTGCTGCAATGAGTCCTGGCTCTCTTGAACAATGTACGTATGCAGCTAATTTTGTGTGATGTTGGGTTGTTACTGTTGTAATTGAGTATTTGATCCGTGTGCGTTGGTTTTCTGTATACTTGGGTTTCTAATTTTCCTGTAGTTGTTCGTTTGATTAAGACGTCTAAAAATGGGATTTTGTTTTCATATTCTTCTTCTCTTGTGAATTTGATGTCGTTGAAGGTGTTGTTTATTATGTTGTGGGTATTGTCTAAGTTTTCTCTTTTGATTATCACGAATGTATCATCTATGTAGCGTATCCAAATTTTCGGTTTGATCTTTGGCAGAATTATGTTTTCCAGTCTTTGCATGACGGCTTCCGCAATCAATCCTGATATGGGTGATCCCATAGGTGTCCCTTGAATTTGTTCATACATTTGGCCGTTGAATTGGAAATAAGTTGTGAGACACAAGTTTATGCATTCCATCCAACTTGAATGCTGCATTTTTGATTGTTGTATGTGTTCGTCGTTGTTGAGTAGTTGTTCCATGGTTTCTTTTGCTAGTTTTAGTCCAATCGAAGTATATAATGCCGTGACGTCGAAGGATACCATTATTTCTTGGCTGTCTATTTCAATGCCTTTGATTTTCTCTAAAAATTGGGTCGCAGATTGGATGGAGTGATCACATGATTTCGTCAAGTGTTTCAGTCTTCTGTATAGTTCTTTGGATAAATTGTATGTTGGGGTTCCTGGGAGTGATACGATTGGTCGTAGAGGTATATTTGGTTTGTGTATTTTTGGTCTGCCGTAGAATCGAGGTATGACGGGTCCATTGGATTTCATTCGCCATTGATCTTCTTTTGTGATCTGACCCGTTTTGGTGAGTTTGCTTAGGGTTCTTTGGATGCGGTTGTTTAGTGTTTCGATGGGGTTTGTTGTTAATTGTTGGTATATTGTTTGATCTTTGAGTAGTTCTTCCGCTTTTGCAGTGTATTCTTCTTTGCAACATTCAAGTTGGATGGAATGCATAAACTTGTGTCTCACAACTTATTTCCAATTCAACGGCCAAATGTATGAACAAATTCAAGGGACACCTATGGGATCACCCATATCAGGATTGATTGCGGAAGCCGTCATGCAAAGACTGGAAAACATAATTCTGCCAAAGATCAAACCGAAAATTTGGATACGCTACATAGATGATACATTCGTGATAATCAAAAGAGAAAACTTAGACAATACCCACAACATAATAAACAACACCTTCAACGACATCAAATTCACAAGAGAAGAAGAATATGAAAACAAAATCCCATTTTTAGACGTCTTAATCAAACGAACAACTACAGGAAAATTAGAAACCCAAGTATACAGAAAACCAACGCACACGGATCAAATACTCAATTACAACAGTAACAACCCAACATCACACAAAATTAGCTGCATACGTACATTGTTCAAGAGAGCCAGGACTCATTGCAGCACTCCCGCCTTGAGGAAAATTGAAGAAAATCATCTTATGGACGTCTTCCAAAGAAATGGATACCCACGAAACTTCATCAAAAGACATCTACCCCCAGCTCAACCAACCAAATCAAAGACCACCAGCGAAAACACAAAGAAAGTCGTCCTACCATATATAAAAGATATCTCCGAAATCACTGCAAGACTATTCAAACCTTTTGGAATCGATGTCGCTCATAAACCAACAAAGTCACTACACTCAGTTCTATGTAAACCAAAGGACTCAACGGCAAAAGAAGACAAAACTAACGTCATCTACAAGATAAATTGCAACGACTGCGACAAACATTACATTGGTCAAAGTGGACGCCCTCTTCGTCTTCGCATTCACGAACACAAACTAGCTGTCAAAAGACACGACATACACTCCCTCATATCACTACATGCAGACAACCAAGGGCACCAATTCGACTGGGACAATGTTCAAATCTTAGACAAAGGGAACTGCAAAAATGCCAGAGAATTCCTAGAGGCCTGGTATTCAAATGAATCAGCAATCAATAGACACATAGAGATTGACAAAATATACCAATCCATACGAAGAAATTCACACAAAAACAAAGTCAAACTTCAGGTCAAGGAAACAGTCAACACCAAAACAAGTAAACTAGAAAGTGAGAAGTCACACAAAAACAACCAATCATGTTCAAGGTTGGCAGAAGGAATGACTAACGACACTCAGACCAAAGAAACAGCCAGCACTGAGACAAGCAAACTAGGGGATGAAATGTCACACGAAAACAACCAATCACGTTCAAGGTTACTAGAAGAGATGACTTATAAACTCATAGAGAATTCTAAAAGCTCACTTCACATCGAAGTATGCGCTGAAGATGTTGCTCAGTAGAGCAATGAAAGCTTCGCAACCAAACCATCCAGCTCAGAGAACGCAACCACACCAAAATCATCCACCTGAGCTACAAATCTTCTCTATTATATCTAGATTATGCAATTAACAAGCACGTTAATATAGACGAAATATACTAATTAATAAAAAGTCGATCATGTTACGAGAAAGGTCAATATCCAAGTCAACAAAAAATGAGCAATACATATGTCAAGATGGCTACCGGGAAACGCAATTATATCACCACTCATGAAGAAATTTAAATCTGTTCACTTTATGCTAAAAATTGCGCTAAAGGGAGATGTTGTCCAGAAGGACGACGAAAGCTCCACAACCAAACCAACCAGCTCAGAGAACACTATTTATTGCAAATTGTGTGCTCTTTTCAATGTATTTTTGAAAGTGGTCTTTTGTATTACATAGTTGGAGGCAATTGACCAGAGGAGGCCTTGCTTGACCTAGGTTTCGTGTTAGTTGGCACTCACTACCAGTCAGTCAGCAAGGCGTATATGCAACCACATTGAAGGAACAGCTCATGTCCCACCCATCTGAGATTCGAACCCGCGTCACCCAGTGCTGCAATCACTGTTGACCA